TCCCACTAGAACCCCAGGTAAATACTTACCTGAATAGGGCCAGTCACTAGTGAGCATTTCATTGATATTCAAGTATTGATTTGTAGGGATTTGATTGATTGCTTACAGGATTTCATCCTGAGCTAACATCAGTTAGAGAACCATTGGAAAACCTTGAAGTACAGGCCGGCCGTTTCGTCCTAGTTTGGGACTCTTCATCAGTACGCAACCACATTGATTTCTGAATGTAGTTCTTTGTTTAAATGACTTAAGATCTGTTCCATTCAAAGGTTTATTATTTTGTAGGTTATGAAACACATAAATAATACTTATGATTGGTTCTGCTACCTTTTTGCCACAAATTCTTCCAACTATATTCAGGAAACTAGTCATTAGTTATTCGAAAGATCTTTCAGCATACTTAATACCCGTGGTGTATAGATACTTTCGCGCAGTTTGAATTTCAGTAGACCAAGAAAGATAGGATTTTCCACCATAAAATGGTGTCATTTTATAGCACCGGGGTTTTCATTACCTGCAGACTATGTGCGAGTAGAATTCAATATTCGATAAGTTTGTTTATTGGAAAATGTATGAGGACCAGTAAGAAGAATAAAAGAAGTAATAAAAATAATAAAAATAGTAAGGAATACAAAACCATGGTAGAGGTATCATATGAAGAAGGAAATTAAGATTCATAATAAGGATGGAATAAGGGTGGCATTTAAACAATCAACCTACTCACTCAGAGATAAACTTCTTCGGCCTAAAGACTCTACAGATTCAATTCGGAAAGATGATATAATTTACCAAATACCATGTAATGACTGTGAGTGGAATTAATTGCACAGGTCAAACTAGCATATTGGGGTCAATTAGACTATTGGAACATAAAAATTTAGCTAGACCTCGAATGACTGACTCTGCTAAGTTGAATAATCTAGAAAAAAGGCTCAGGCATTGGATTGTGTTCACTTGCATGTTATTACAAAACAAGTGGGGTCGTTGTGAAAGTAATGAAAAGTGATGTAGTCAGGTGAAGAGACAGACGCAGATTAATGACCGAATCGTTGATCACTGAGTTAACACCGTACACTTACAGTCGAAATGACGTAACAACTATTTATTTTATTATTATTATTGTTCCCTTGGGTTCCTAGTGGAACATAGGGCTTCAACTGCACGTCTCCACTTGCTTCTGTCTTCTGCTGTACTTTTCATCTGCGTCCATGTTAATCCATACTGTTTCAACTCCTCTTCACACGATCTCCTCCATGTCACCCTTGCACGTCCCACTCGCCGCTTCCCTTTCGGGTTCCACTCGAGCACTGGCCTGACGCGCGATGTCACCCAATGGCCTCCTCAGCGAGTGTCCAATCCATCTCCACTTTCTCCTGCATATTTGTTGAGCGATTGGTTCTTGTTTTGTTTGTTCCCATAGTTTCTTGTTGGTGATTCTTTCCGACCATCTGATCTTCAGTAAAGAGCGAAGACAGTTGTTGATAAAGGTCTGCAACAGGCTGTTGGAAATATTCTTTGTGACCCGCCAAGTTTCTGATCCGTATAGAAGAACTGACTTGACGTTTGTATTGAAAATCCGAATTTTGTTGTTGAAGCTGAGTGACGAAGATTTCCAGATTGTTTTCAGGTTGATGAATGTGTTTCACGCCTTCCCGATTCTCGATTTGACATCCTCGTCCGTTCCTCCTGTAGTTGAGACAATGCTCCCTAGATAAGTGAATGAAGTAACCTCTTTCAAATCCCTCCGGTTGATGGTGATTGGCGCTGGATGTTGCTGCTGTTGTTGTTGTTGCTGGTTGGTTATTTTCATAACCTGCGTCTTGTCTATGTTCACCTGGAGTCCTGTCTTTGCTGCTTCTTCGACCATTTTGTCGGTTTTCACTTGTAAGTCTTCGATTTTGTGTGACATCAAACATAAATCATCGGCGAAATCCAGGTCTTCTAGGTTCTTCATGTCGGTCCAGGATATCCCTGTCTTCTCGTTCCCCACTGCCTGACGCATAATCCAGCCCGCCACAATTAGGAGTATCATTGGTGATAATAAGCACCTTTGTCTGACTCCTGTGTTTACTGCAAACGCCTCGCTGAGTTTTCCGTTGTGGATCACATGACATGTGCCGTTGTCGTACAGCTGTTATATATATGTATATATGTATAACAAGTTGTGTAGTCATGTGAATACATTGATATGATTATGGTCAATAAATTGTTCTTGAAACGTGATCCCCTTATAACTACTGTATCACTCACCGTGTGTTATATCGAATAAACTTATCTCACGTAGAACCAACCGATATTACAAAGGTTAGAAAATAATGAAAATGACAAATTTCAATGTTTTAGTAATAAAACAGAAAAAATTATAAATTAGAGCATCTAATATTTAGACATCAAATCTTTTTTGCGTCAAGTTATCATTAGTTTATATACATTTCAAAGTAGAAAACTAGAGGTGGGAAAGGAAGAGAGAAAACAAAACATTTCTCACAATGTGTGCGTACCTTGACCAGCTTCGTTAAAGCAAGAACAATAAGATTTGCCTTATAAAATTCGCAAGTTTTTTGACGCCTCTATTTTTAGCTATTAATATTATTGTTGTCCCTTTTGGTTCCGGGGGAACATATGGCTTCAACAACACATCTCCACTTTGTTCTATTTTCTACCATCCTCTTCAGCTGGGTCCTTGATTGAAAAAACTCTATCATCTCTTCCTCACACGATCTCCTCCATATCAACCTCGCACTGACGGTCCACCCGTCACCGCTTACCATTTGGATTCCACTAGAGGATCTGGCGCGCGATGTCATTCGACGGTCTTCTCAATGTATGCCTTAACCGCCTTCATTTTATCCTACAAATTTGTTGAGCGATCGGCTCTTGCCTGTTAGTTTGTTCCCACAGTTTCTTGTCGCTAATTCTTTCTAGCCGGCCATTTGATCTTCAACATGGAGCCAACGAAGGCAGCTGTTGATAAAAGTCTGCAACCTGTTGGAAATGCTTTTTGTGACACACTAGCCAAGTTTCTGATCCGTATAGAAGGACCGACTTCATATTTTTGTTGAACAGAATCCGAATCTTGTTCTTTATGCTGGCTGAGTGTAGAAGATTTCCAAATTGGTTTCAGGTTGATGAAGGCGTGTCTTGTCTTTCCGATTCTGTCTATGACATCTCCATCCGTTCCGCCTGTAGTTGAAATGATGCTTTCTAGATAAGTGAAGGAGGGAACCTCGGTTACATCTCTCCCGTTGATGATGATTGATGCGGGTTGTTATCGTTGTTGCAATTCGTTGGCCATCTTAACCTCCGTCTTCTCTATGTTCATCAGTATTCTTGTCTTTGCTGACTGCCTCTCCTGCCACTTTGTTGGTTTCCGCCTGTAAGTTTGTGTCACACCAGACATATGTCGTCTGCAAAACCCAGAGTCTTCTTATCAGTCGTCCAGCGTATTCCTGAATCCTCACTCCCAAAACACAGTCTGACGCGTAATCCAGTCGACCACAATTGAGAATATCACCGGTGATAATAGGCAGCCAGCCTGTCTTACTCCTGTAGGCAGCATAAAAAACACAACACACGCCATCCTATACAGCAAAAGTTAAACATGGAAATCATTGTTTCGGAAAAAAAAGCAGCATCTAAAATGTAATGGTATACTAAAATCAAGTGACACGAAAAGAAAGTAGTCATTTAATAAAGGTTTATGGGAGGTTTATCCTTGAGGTTTTGGCATTTGTCTTACAACAGGACGCATCAAAAATTTATAAAAGGTAGCGTGTAAAAGCAATCGGGAATGAGTCAGAGCTCTAGGTTTGTTGAGTTGTTAATATTTGTATTTGCTGTTAACTTATTTACTTGTATTCCGTTCATTGTAAAGGCAAAAAATCAGTAGTGCATTATATATGATTCTTTATTAGGTGTAAATGACATTCGACTACTCATGTCAGTCAGTCGATCAGTAGTATGTACTATCGACCAGTTATACACTTTTTTCTATTCCTTCACGTTCCCAGTGGAACATAGGCCGCTTCAAACTAGAGACTTGAAGTTCCGGTATTTTGTTTACGGGATGGGGTCACTAGCCTCATGATCCCAACCTTCCCCCTTTACCAGTCTTACTACTGGCTTAGCGAGGTAAAGGAGTTCGTCCGTGGCCGGGGATCGAACCCGTAACCACATGAGGCGTGGTTGGCGAGCATTCTACCTCTGTGCCACCGACGCAAACTTAATTAACTTAAATTCAATTCTATAGGAAAGAATCCACAGACGATGGACTGCATAGCCAAAACCTACATAACACTGAAAAGGAAAATATTACCCTTTTTAATTTATTTTTGTACTTACGATAGCACCTAGAGTATCATTTAACTTGTGTCCCATATTTTGTTATGATTTGAACTGATTGAATTTTATGAGCTGAAACAGTCTCTTTTTGCCTCATGAATAATTCCCACCCGAAGGATCATAAGAACAAGACATACAGTTCAACGAAGAGTCTCTTTTCGGTAATTTTTTCTCGTAAAAGTGGGTAGTAAGAAAGGGATTAATTATCATAAGAATATTTGTTAATATTAGTTAATAAATACGAGCAGTTGAATAAGGGGGATAGAATTACATAACGTGATAAATAATTTAACAAGTGAATTATAATCAGGGTGCTCATAGAAAGAAAAAAGGAAATTTTATGTTACCTAAGAGTTTTAGAGAAAAAGATGAGTCAGAAGAGAAGTTTTGACCTTGGACGTAGGCACCGCCTATTCAAATTATAACGAGATGTATCAGTTCGGAAATGTAGGGCTGTAAAGGCAACTGCTTACAGCTTGGCGTAACCTGTAGAAACTGGAACAGTGTTACAAGACTCACTCAAAAGAAAGTTGGTCATTGGTAATGCAGTCGGTCTGGGTGGTTTCGGCCGAATCTACTCAGTTAAACTTGAGGGTGAAAAAGCTTATCATTATGTTGCTAAGATAGAACCCCAAGAAAATGAACCGCTTTTTACTGAAATGCATTTATACATGCGAGCATGTTTTGAGAATCCAATCAGCTCATGGAAGTCGAGTCATTCTCTTAAGTACCTTGGCATTCCGAAATATAAAGGTAGTCGGTCGGTTAATTTAAATAAAACAGCTCTTCGATTCCTTGTGGTGGATCGTTTCTCTGGAGATTTCGAATCCACATTAAAAAATCGTGAAATATCTGCATCTGGTATTCTTGAAGACAGCACAAATGTGCCAGATGCATTAGAATATATGCATTGGAGAGACTACGCTAAAGCAGATATTAAAGCTTCTAATCTTCTACACAGATCTTCCAAACAAGAGGTTTATTTAGCTGACTTTGGTCTAGTTCACTTATTTCGTTCAGAAGGTGTACATACTGTTGAGAAACCAGATCCTGAATTTCGACACAATGGAACAATAGAGTCTCGTTCACGAGATGAAAATAATGGATTCCCTCCATCTCGTCGTGGGGATTTGGAAATTTTACTGTTCAAACTTATCCATTGGTTGGCTCGATTTCATCGCAATGCTCCTCAGTTACATCCCGCTGTTAAGAGAAATAGCCTAAGTAAAACGAGTCGAAAATAATACGGTCTTTACCATGATAATAGAATTAGATGAAAGTTTTTTTGTATGAACAGCTATGGTTTCTCCATCTGGATCGCTATAACTTCAGCAGTGCAGAGCAGATGAAAGCGGATCGTCTTAGTTAGGGTGCTTTTCACTTTGCAGACCACGCTGAATGAGAAGTTGGTTGATACAGAGTCGCCAGTGTTTAAAAAGATTTTAAAATATCACACGTCTCATAGACTTGCTGCTACCTTTCTGCAACCACGCAGGATAGTGTTCTTGAACCCTTTTAGACAGGATCCAGATCAAAGGGCCAATATACCTGGCAATACAAGAACTGATGAGTGGATGCATACACATGGACCTGGTTGTATACGAGTTCTTGTCCTTTTGGCTTCTAGACACCAGTGGGCTACTAGAGAAAACGCCCACTAAAGTCACTGCGAAGAAAGTGTTTCTTAAAGAAGCCGAAATTCTCCTCCCAATAACGTCATTATTGAAGTCACTTTTGACGTGAAAACTTCATGTAAAGTTTCTTTTCTGGCAGGAATACGTCTGTTGTCTTTGAATTATCCTCTTGATATTGTTGTCAATAAACCTACTTGGATATCCGTTTTGCAAGAAGGTTTCCCTAGAAAAGTTTAATTATCTTCCAGAGCATCAGGGCCACATATGCGTCGCGTGCGGGTGGGATGAGAAATAATTAGGTTCCGTTTACATCCACTTAGTACCTAGCTGTGAAAAACTGACAGTTTGCCGTTCAATGTGGGTTTCCTTGGATAGAAATTTATCAGTAGTTGCTTAAGGTGGACCACTCTTGGGGCTTGCCATGAAAGAGTTTCTAGCAATGAATCCAGGGGAGATCCCTTCGCACTCCCAACTTCTTGTAGGTAAATGGCGTCGTCGAATATGAATTACACATTAATGGTGAATTTCTGTACAGGTTACTTTAAACAAACTGTTGGCAACCCGATTTTAATCAAGTTTCCGTCTATATATCGACAAATATGATAGTTTTCGTGAATGGAACGCTGTTGCGTAGTGATTCAATGTCAAGAGACAGCATAATTTTGTTCGATACATTGATATCTTGGATACACTCGATGAACTGAGTGTCACGAAGGTAAATCTATTTGCTTGCAGGTTCTAAAATATCAGTTGACCATGTCACTAAATTAATGGCTGGAAAACATGAAATGTCCAAAAAGTGGACCTAGTGGCAGACCGGCTTTGTGTTTCTTTGGTAAACCATGCATTCTAGGTATTATTGAATCTGTTAGTCATGTGTGATTACAAATTTCATGCCCGACTAACTGCTCAGTTTTCATTCCTTTGAGAACATCAATGAGCGGGTTCTCAATCTTTTCTGTTTTATTTCTTTCATTCGGTGGCTGGGAAAATTTATTTCCACCTGATAGCATGTCATTCATTTTCTCTATAAAATCTTTATCCATAAGGACTAGACTGGCTGCCTTAACAGGAAGGGTTATTAATAGTTCTTTGTTGCATTTCAGCTGATTTAATTGTTCTCTGTCCGGCTGTTCAACGATAATAATGCAGTGATCAACTGTAAATAGGGAATTCGACCATGAATATCAACAAGATATTATTCAGTTGATGGTGGCGAGAAGTGAAATTGCATTTCATCTTATCTGTGACTGGTCAGCTGGGTGTACCTGTAACGACAGAAGACAAGGGCCGGGAAACAGATCGTTTATTGAGAAAATCAACAGATATTTATCGATTTTTATGTACATTATTATAGGATATTGTTAGCAGAGAAACACCGACTTCTGATTGGTTGTTTTCTCGCTGAAAGTTAATCTTTAAATATTCCCATTTTTAATATTAGAATAAGACATATAAGCGAACAATATCGCTGTTTTCAATTAGATCTTCTTCTTCAGGCTTTACTCTAATTTACATAGATTTATATATAATAAATTTTAACCAATGACGGTGATTTTGTGGATCAAATAATAATAATGTGGTAAATGTTTTGAACGTAGTTAATAACGATGATTATAATGATAACAAAATATTGATAATAAGGTTTATGCAGGTGATAAGAATAACAAAGATAGTATATGTGTATAAGTGTATAAATAAATTGGGTCAAATCTTAAAACGTGAAGTGGAATGATAATCAGAGTTTAAATAAATATCATAAAAGTACAAAGGAAATGGCAAATAAGAAAGGGTGGGAGGGTTTTGAATAGAATTCACCTAGGCTAAGCAAGGGAGAGACAAAGGTAGAACAAACTTCTTTTGTATGCAAAGACTAGGATTGTTCTCTCGAATTACCACAGCTTCGGCTATGTGTAAAAGGCGGGTTCGAATTCCGTTCGAAAGGCTCGATGGAATGCGATAGATAACTTTGAAGGCACTATTTTTGTCCACTTGGTGACCGCTATCAATCAAATGAGCCGAAATAGAACTTCTTATAGATTTTATTTGACCTTTTCCAAACCATGAAGGAAGATGCTCATTAATGCGTTTGTTAAGCTGTCTAGTTGTTCGTTAAAGTTAATCTGTCATCTCTTTGTGGCCATTTATTTGAAGGTCATACCATATTTTTGCGAATCGTATCCGCCCACGCAAAGTCTGCTGTGATTTGTTGTTGAGTTAGTCTTTGTTCTTGTTTTTTCTCATGACCGAGATATAGGACGTAAACATTGACGTAAGTTGCTGTCTATCAATTTTGGCTAGCAGACAGCTCTCACCACATACATGCGGTCCACTTTGAGTGAATGTGTCTAGTCCAATATAATCAATCAGAGGGAAATAAGAAATTCACTTAAGCAATTGATAATTGATACTCGGTGCACTTTAAGAGGCTTTTGTCCTTGTGGTCTAGTGGAAAATGCTGTGACGTTTGAAATAATAAGTTCTGGTTTTGAGTCTCGGAGGGAACACCATCATTCGCTGAGAACTGCAGGTACATCCAGATGATGAGTCCCAAATAGTGCGAAGTGCGCATCTTGGATTCTGTTACCAGTCACCATCCACTAGATAGTATCGTGTTAATCTTGAGACATCATCGGTCTAATATAATCAGTCAACGGGAAATACAAACTCCCTGAAGAATATCAATAAATTGCCGGTAGATAGTGAATAGTCTAGGTTAGACAGGTCACGTCTAAGGCTCCTGATAGAATATGGTGCCACTTTGCTACGCGGTTAGATTATCAGTTTCTCGATTCAGAGGAGCCTGTAGCTCAGAGTCAGTAATTTAATACATACTTGAATGAATTAAAGTCTGTTTATGAATGTTATACATACTTACAGCGTACACGGAATGTCTCGTTCATGACAGATTTCAGCATTAGGCGTTGACACTCTCGAATGAGGGGACGAAGATGTGTGAGGAGATCAGCTGGCTGGCTCCAGAAAGCGATAACATGCGTTGAAATCGAACGAGTGATGACGAAACAGCCTTCTCAATGTTCGAACACATTGCGTCAAGAGTGCGGTCGCGTAATGGTAGAGACACGATCATGTCGCAAAATTTTCAGAGTTCGGAAATAGCAAGCTGTAGAAGAAGGAGTCGTGCATTCTATGAATCATCTCGACATAATGCTCAAAGTGACTAGAGGTCGAAACCACTCAGAATTCCACCAAGGCGACAGCGAATATACATAAGTTCACCTGAATTAACTCACACAGCAGTAAACCAATCACAGTTGATAAAATTTCATTGAAAGCAACGCCGAGAAAAACACCTGTGAATCCTGGTTAATGTGGCGGAAATCGTATCTACATGACGAAATTCATCCACATTATCACGTTGGATTATGAAACGAAGAAGAATATCACATATGATATGATCATTTATTGTTTATGAAAGCCAACAGAAACACACAGGAGAAGGTGAGGAAAGCAAATCGGAAGACAGTCAACAGTCAATTGTGTGATGATAACATGCTCCTGCACGATCGTCATTGAAGTGCATGTAGTGGAGTGTATTTGTGTGCGTGACGAGTAGACTGGTGAATGTCTGATGCAGACGTGGTGAAAAGTGGAGCGAAACAATGAGTGGAGGTGAGCCAGATGGAGGACACCTATTTGTCTCTGCAATGGCCGTCGAAATACTGCAGGCTGCAACATTCACCGTCACGCTGACACTGCAATTTCGATGGAAGACATTCAGCCGCGGCCCTGACACACGCATCTTCTCTCTCATTCAGCATTTCATTCTTTCGCTGAGCTGGTAGTAATTCCGGTAAATGGAGTTGAGATGATGTCAACCCCACTCTGTAAAAATTAAACTGCTGCTACCGAAACTTCAGTGATATCACTTGGAGTCCTACGTTCCACTATAATGAAATAAAAAGAGTAAAATATTTTCTGGATGCAAACCTTTGTTCTTTAGAATTTTCTGACTGGTATAAAGACAGAGAAGAGTTTACATTTGCCTTTATTCACATTCATATAACCTCTGAAAGCGCTATCACGATTAACTTACCAGACTAGGTGTTACTCATTCGAAACCTGCTATGATTCAGAATGTCAGTTCACTCTTCAATCATCACGCATTACACCGATAGTAATCTACTTCCCGAAGGTTATCTGAGATATTCCCCCCGCCATCAATATTTGATCATACTTGATATCGTTGTATAAGACAGGTGGAACAGTCTAGGTAGAGAAATGGGTGGAACATGAGTACTCTTTAAATAAATTTTGTTTTTAAAAATTTATTATTATTATTTATTATTGTTCCCTTAGGTTCCTAGTGGAACATAGGGCTTCAACTGCACGTCTCCACTTGCTTCTGTCTTATGCTGTACTTTTCATCTGCGTCCATGTTAATCCATACTGTTTCATCTCCTCCTCACACGATCTCCTCCATGTCACCCTTGCACTGACGTCCCACTCGCCGCTTCCCTTTCGGGTTCCACTCGAGCACTGGCCTGACGCGCGATGTCACTCAACGGCCTCCTTAGCGAGTGTCCAGTCCATCTCCACTTCCTCCTGCATATTTGTTAGGCGATTGGTTCCTGTTTCGTTTGTTCCCA